CACGTTTCAAGAATACAAACAGTATAAAGTATTATAATATAAACGGTATTAGGTCTGTCTCTTTTAAAAAAATATAAAAAAAAAAAAAAAAAAAAAACAAGTCGATTTTCTACACTTCTGTGTACACGTTACTACCTCCTGGTAGTGCCAATAAATTTATTTTCTGCCTTGTAAAGTAACGATCGAAACCAAATGCAACCACTTGTGCTAGTTTTACGAACAAACTCGTTTTAATCTCGAGTTGATATATAATTAACTTTAAAACTGAATGGAAGATAAATAGAAACCAGTTGTCATTGTGTATCATTGAACACAATACAAGCACTGGATCCATAAGATCCTGAACGCACAACGTGCATCCTTCGCCTCCAACTTTCACAGCCTACGTGCTGCGTTAACCATGAACTTTAGGCTGGAACAATCAGCCATTAAACTGAACACGATCTTTGTACGCTAATACGAGGTAAATGTAAGTATATACGATGGACAAGTCACTTTACTAACAACATCTTCGTATTATAATACTTGAAGCAATCGCAACTGATGATTAAGCAAAACCGAACTGCTCTTCGTGTTCAAGGTTGTTATCCCGTTTTCATCCATCTTGAGTCTGTGTATTGACAATGAGTCATCTCAAAACGACCTGAATATCGATCGAAGTGAAAAAACTTTCAAAAAATTAAAGTGCAACGACGATTTTCGTCCGACGACTCTTTTGTTTTTGAATGGTGCGACAGTTACTTACAATTTATCGCTTAAATGCACTAGTTTATTTTAAACCTCGATTAGATATCAAAACCCCTTTGTGAAAATAGTATAAAGACTGTACAACAAAGGATGCCACAACATCACCTTGTTGACCACAAATTGGATTGATTTAAACTTAAATCAAGTGCCCTATCGACTTGAACAAATCTCCATTAAGTACATTTAATGAACACCAAGCAAATTACATGACTGTGCTACTTAATAGAATGTAAATTACGAGCCGATTCATAAGTAACTGCAAGAGTCTTTAAACTCGTTCGTAATTCCAAAAACAAGTAATAAAAATTAAACGAAATATCAGACATCAATCAGTGGAAGTTTCCTATCTAAATTTTATTTTCTTGGACATGATAAATCTGTCCGTTGTATCGTCAAGTTACGCATGAATGAATAAATTGATAGCAGCAGTAGTCATGTGCAGGTTGTTATTGCACATAGCTTGAGTAAATGTCCATTGGCTGTCGTTGTTAACTATTAGATGCGCCAAAGGGGGGAATCTAACGATCGCCTGCAAGTTTCTTACGGTACTGCGACTACTGAAAACCGGATACACACACAGTTCCCAGTGTCGCCTTTCTCTCTTCCATGAATATTAAATTACGACATTTCATCAAAACTTTGTATTTCCTAATCTTTCTTTCGGTTAAGACCGACTGAAAGGCACATACGCTTACTCATCTCTCTTAACACAATAAATGTTCTGAAACCTGACACTCGGTGACTGGTGTGACAGCAAGAACAGGAGAACAAGTATATGTGACGAAATTCGTAGTAAAACGATGAAATTTAATGCAATTATTTTACGTTTAGCCATTGAAATTAATCAATAATTATATTGCAAATTACCGAGCCACAAATAACACTGAGAACCTAACGCGCAAATAATTTTCTCGCATAGAGCGAACCTAGAAATTGTCTTACATTCAAGACACATATAAAAATGACGTAGGTACGTTATCAACAACTAACGAAATATCACATAAAAGAAGACGAACTCGATAGATTTAAATATGTAGAAGCGAAAGGAAAAAAAAGAAAAAAGATCCATAAAAGATCTCTTACCTGTTTGCCAGCGCGAGGTAACGTCTCCACATTGGTACCGCCGACGACAGGCGCTTTTTCCGGTCCCCCATTCTGCTGGCTGACATTTATGTTGGCATTAACATTCGCATGAACATTGGCGTTAACATTGTTCACGTTGTCGGTAAGGTTCGTGTTCCCTACACCGGCATCCCCACCAGCGCCAGTTCCACCCCCGCACTTTCCTTCCTCGCCCGTCATCACTTCAGCCTCACCCTCCGCCGGTTCACCCCTGTCTCACCCTTTCGCGTTCCACGCCTCGAGCCTTCCTTCCGTTCACTGATTACCAATGTCGGTCCGCTGACCAGAATCCGGATATCTGCCCAAACGAGACGACGAATCGTTGATCAAGAGAAACGGGTCAATCTATCGATTAACCGAGCCGATCGGTTCGGACGATACTTTCAAATCTTATTCCCTCTTGTCACTTTCCCTACTACCACCACGTCTGTACGATATTATATCGATCCCACTGGTGACAAAAGCCAAGCTACTACGAAACCAATTGAAAAGAAGATGATCCGTGTATGTTTGACTTTGGACTGCATCTTGGAAATTAAAACGAGAAATGAAATTGAAACGAGATGCGATTGATTAAATGCGAATGAATTTACCCAACGCGATAGAATAATTATTCACAGACAAAATCGAAAGGACGTATCGTGAAGCAAAGTAAAGAAATGGGACTGAATCGACTCGCAGCGAGGTGTCAAGAAACACGTCAGAAGAACGATGAAAAAAAAAAAAAGGATTGATCCGCGATCTGACCCGATTAACACGTCACGTTCGAACATGCCCTTTCTTTCGCCGACACGCTACCGAGATTCATTAGAAAATGTAGAATTATTTTCGTTCACTGGTCGCCGCTATTTTTAGGATTCTGAACGCGCGATACGGGTGGTATAACGGTATATGACGAGCTAGCTCAAGCACGCTGGAGGCAGACTTTGCAAGGCACATGCCGATCGGGAACTAATCAATTAATGGACCGAGTACTCATTGGTGATTAAACAACCGGAACTAAATCGCCACTGTAAGTTGCCATGTTTCCATCCACGTTTTTAATTACATCGCGAACTACGACCACGACTCGATCACCACCGGTTTAATTTTAACCAATCTTCAGGCAGGCCGGTTTCCACTGACGTTACCGAACCAACGACAAAGCTGTCTGTGTAAAACCTCTGGCGTAGACCAATCCACTCACGGCGGACTGACTATAGGAAACGCTACCGTTCATCGGGAGAAACTGGGCAAAATAGTTTCCGATAGCTGCGAGGTACTCGAGTAATCGTACATGTAGCTCTATCGTCGGTAGTGGAACCAGGGAAAATCGATTCGGCCGTGCCCGTTTGAGCACTGCGCGCCTCTCAAGTGTACGCGAACCACCGCGATAAAAGCAGTCACGTCGCGCGGGATGTTCGTTTTGACTTTCGGAATCACGTAAGTAACGTTTCCACGCATCTCGATATACCAATGGCAATGACTCGAACACAAATTTTTTTTATCCAGAAACGCCATAGTATCGTAATAGTGTCGGAATAGAACGTGAATTTAACGAACGCTCTTTAACTATATTGCAATAAAATTTGAGGAAAACGTGTTGTTCTCTAATTTTTGTTCGATACGAAACAAGAAGAGATTCTAGAGTTCAAAAGATGAAATTCAAACGAGAAAAGGATAGAAATAAACATATTTGACACTTCTGAAAGAACGTGAAGCAACGAGTAAGGAGTACGTTACATTTAACCCTCTCTAACAAACAGAATAAAGCGTTACTGACACAATACGTGTGATGAGAATAAGATTTCGATGCAGGTTCATTCATTAAAAACGTACGACTTCCGAATTAAAACTGAGATAAACAGACTTTATAAATCAAGATTTAAGACCGATGGAAAATGGACTCCCCATATTTCTCTAAAGCAGAAATTCCTGCCTCGGGCTATTGCCCGAGTCACTCTGTATACATATATCGACTATGCCGGCCTTAGTTTCTTATTCCCTATAAAATTCTACATTTTAAATCTGGCAATCAGCATTTAAAACGTTCCTGCAAACTTCGTTCCTCCCCATTTTCATGACTGAATATAACAAACACCATCTACTAAAGCGGGTCAACTTGTCGAATAATCACTTTTTAATCGGATCCTGATGCATCGAAAAATGACGCGATTAACCAGAGAACCACAGGGTGTTGTGGCGATACTTAGGATTCCCGAATACCAACCACAGAATACCGAGGCACTTTTTCCATCAAGTGTTTTTTCACTGTCAAATCACACGACGTTTCGTCATTTTTCTTTTTCTTTCTTTTTACTTTTGTCGATACGCGAACCGAATCATATATATGTGTGTGTGTGTGTGTGTGTATATATATACTACTCGAAAGGATTCCGTCCGTTTAAGAAAGTTCCGAGCGTAACGCGACCACCCTCCCAGAAACTCCGTACGGCTTTGATCGGTTTTATAACTCTGATGGCGACGGGTACGCTCGAAGCGACGCCTGGTGATCATGTTCCAGATGCGCTCCGACTACCCCCTCTTTTCAATTGAGCTTCCCGATTATCACCGTCTACTTCACAGAATATACAAGAAATTTGATCCTTTTTCAATAGGGCAATGTTGAATTCAAAATTACATTATATAAAATCATGGAACATGTTTGTCTAATGAATGAATGAATGAATACCGATAGAACGATGCTTTTTTTTTTAATATTCCTGATCAATCTAATTGTTTAGCTATTAACTTCATTATCAAGCTTTATTATTGTTATTATTTTTAAACTTTAAACACTCAATTACATTGTACAATATATTTATTGGGTATACATTGTTTAATAAACATTCCTCAATAATCATATCATAAATCAATAATTTGAAGGTAAAAAGTTATATTTTTACACATTTCACGCAAAAGTCCTTAAAATCAATGATAAAGTTTCATTGCAAGTTATATGGTATGGTAAATGGTAGTACTTTTTATTATTGACACTTAAATACTAGGATAATAATAATATATAATAACATATCAACACATATATTTCGCAAAATTATAAAGAAACTTGCTTTATTTTATACTTTTAAAAATATAATAACATGTTATACTTGTACTAACTAATAGTTTTTTTTTACACTTTAATATGAAAAAACCAAGATAAAATCATTTAATCACATAATTGTTATACATAATGTATTAACATAAATACTATAAACAGCATCAACATAGTTAATAAATTCACATACGAAGACGTAAATTATAATTTTAGAAAATTTCTATTTGATTTTTTTAATTCTAAAAAACCAAAATATAAAAATGATTTAAAAATTATCAATTCATATTGATATCATTTTGAAAAACTGTTTTTATAATAATTTATATATATCTAATATATTTATAATATAAAAAAACATTTGACTCAGCAATATTTTAATTGAATGGAATACTATTATATTATTATGTACATTAATATGTATAATATAATAAATAAATATATTATAGTATACATGTTACATATATTTAATGAACAATATTTGACTTACTTATGATTCAAACTAAATTTTAAAAAATTAGATATTATTATAATATTTCAAATTATGTACTTTTATTCATCTTTACATTGTTTAAACCTACACTTTTATGTACATGTATATTTATTTATGTCTTATGTACGGTGTCTTATCCAACTATCACAAGTTATAATTTTGAGTATGTAAAAAAATGTAATGTTCAAAACTTTCAGAGTGGACACTAGACTATACATTTGAAATCTTTTTGTTTCATCTAACAAAATTCTTTTCTATTTTCTACTTTTTCTACCGTTTCGAAGTCAGGATCCCCTGTAAAATTACATTATTTTATCTATACATTAGACAATGTAACATATCCTTTCTATGTAATACACATATAAAGTAACATACATATGTGATATATACAAAATAATATTTCACAATTAGAAATATTATTTATTATTGTATTAATTATGAAAAAAAAAAAGAAATAGAAAAATGAGAACTATAAATTGCATTATAGGTAATTTCATTCATAAATCAAACTACATGACTCTTTGGATAATCTCATTTTTCTCATGTAAATCAGAAATTCTAACTGACTTTTCCCATATAAATCAGGAATTCTATCAATCGAATATATGTACTTATTACCATGAATATTTCTCCTATGTCTTAACAAACTTCCTTTGCTAGAGTAAGTTCGTTTACAAAGATGACAAGGAAATCCAAGTCCATAGTGATATGCTTCGTGCCTAGATTTCATATTATCATAATATTGGTTATTACAAGTAGAACAGATTGTTAACCCATGTTCGGCATCAAAATGTATTTTTCGATTTGTGGTAGTGGAAAATCGTTTATCACATTGAAAACACTGAAACGGTACTATACTATCAAAATGTCTACGCGTCACATGTTCATCAAACTTTTTATATGTACTTAGAATCTCATTACACCAGTAACATTTTATCTGCATTGGTAAAGCAATAAACTGTTTTCCTTCATTAACGGAACATTGATGCTCATTCCATGTGACAATATCAGGAAAATTAATTTTACAGTATCCACACAACAACTTTGAACTATGATGATGTTTACTAGTATGAATGTCAAGAGCTTTTCTGGTATAAAATTTAGAGCCACATACACAAATATTATATTTTCTAGCAAAATTTCTTTTAATACCATTAGATTTTTTGTAGTTACTTCTGGTAAGAAATTTCTTTTCCTTTAAAAGTTTTGAGTTAACATTATTTCTGTAAAATTCATCATTTGGTTCTATTTTTAATTCTTGTTCATCATTTGGTTCTATTTTTAATTCTTGTTGTTCGCATAAATTATTTCCCACTTTGTTCATGGAACTAGAAATATTATCATTATAGGAATTGATTTGTGAATCTTCTTCAATGTCAATATCAATATTTTCATCTGCAGATTGAATTTTCAATATACTATGTTTTTCGCTGTATTTAGAAAGTTCTAAAGTTTCATGTAAATCATCTTGTAACTCTATTTGGTTATTATTTTTAGAAGTATTTGATAATGTATAAAAATTTTTTGAATCCTGTAATTTATTTTCATTTTTATTATCTTTATCGATAATTTCATAAGAATTATTCCTTTTCTTTATTGTTATACTAATTCCCATTCCAGAATTTTTATTTTCTTCACTCTTTTTACTTATGTTGTTTTCTACTACTGGTTGATTTGCATCAACTAAAAAAGTACATATTCTTTTATGCGTAAACAATGTATGAGGATTACGAAATGTTCTTCCACAAGAACAAATATTTTTATCATCACTTTTATTTTTTCTTTCATAACATTTTATATTTGATATCTTCTTATCCTTGATCGCATGTTGCACAATTTCCTCCGATCTTCCTTTATTTTTAAATAAATTTGAATTATTTTTACTACTGCAATTATAATTATTTGTATTCTCGTAGGACGTATCAACTGAAATTAATTTTGATTTTGAGTATAAAGGAGAATTATAATAATTATGTCTGCTTCTAGATAAATGGAAATTTTCTTTTGTTTCTCCGCGAATGCGATGAACACGTACATGTCCATAAAAGCTACTTAATGTATAAACACCAAGGCAAATTTCACATTGACGAGTACCTGATCGTACATAGTGTTGCGTGCTTAATCTTTGTCTTTTGTTTTGAGTATTATGTTCTTTTTGAATGATTTCACTCGAAGTTTTATTTTCATCACTAGAAAGTCTTCTTTTTAATTTATTATTTTCAAGATTAGTACACGTTCCGTTTAAATTTTTTAACATAAAATCAGGTGATTCAATTTTATGGTAATCAACTAAGTGTTTCCTTATATCCTTCACAAATTGTTTACACAATGTACACGTTGATGAAGTTGCAGAATGCTGTATAGAATTTACTTTTTCATTTTGTTTTATTTCTTTAATTAATTTTCTTTCCTCATTTTTCATAGTTCCATTGATATTAATATCATTATTATTGCATACCAGACTATTAGTAAATTTGCTTCCTTTTAGATGCAGATCTGAGACAACAATATTGTTATTTGATGATGAAACATGCTGCAATGAAGCTACAGTATTATGCAGTTGTTTATTTTCACTTTTTTTTAATGAAACCTTTTCAGAATTATCTTCTTCTTTTTCAGTATTATTAAGCTCTTTTTCTTTCACTTTGTCAATACCCTTGTAATACCGTCTTGGTGCAATATAAATGCCATGTATTCTGTCTGAATGATGCCTTAACCTTCGATTTTCAGTATACTGCTTTCCACATATAGTACAATGAAATAGCTTCTTTTTAGATTTCACAGAAAATTTAAAATTTGGTAACTCAGCATTATTGTTACCTAATACTGGTTCGTATTCAATATATAATGGTTTTGAAATTTTTGTTTCTGATGCATTAGATGTGTCAATCTTAGTTGTGCCTTGTACATTTTTTATTACTTTTAATGTTTCCCATATTTTATCACATCTTTCAAGCAAAATAACAGGATCCTTTAATTTGTGTGGTGTGATCAAAGGAATTGATGTTATCTTTTGCTCTTGAAATTCCTCCTGAAAAGATATGTTTGTGTATTATGGTCTATATTAAAATTAAAAAACATGCACAGTTTTTCTTCTTTAATTTTATATTTAAATAAAATTTATGCTGTTACAATATATATCAGAGAACGCAATTTAATATTCTTTTTTTATTTATTACAATGTCACATCGACTATAATTTATAAATAATTCATTGTTATTATAAATAAATATATTGAGATACTATCTTACTTATAAGATTATAAATAAACATTAAATTAGAAAAATCAAACTTGAACCTACAACAATAACGATAAAGATCACATCTGTAGTAAATTCATTAATCCAAAAATGCTGACACTATGGAAAAAAAAAAATCGTATCCACATCGTAAATTTAAAATTCCCGCCATAAACTAGTTAAAGCACACATTGTTTATTCTCTTTTATATTATATAAAAACAACAAAATATTTAAATATAAACTTTAAATATGAAATATATAAATATGAACTTTTGAATAAAATTCAATAAATTTTTAATGACGAAAAACTATTTTTGTTTAACAACACACATAGAGAATTAATTATACATAAAAATAACAAATTAAAGAAAAAAAAAACTTAGGTTATATGTTTAGAAAAGTATATAAATATGCTATATATATTAGTAATTATGAACTTACCACATTCGATGTATCTTCAATTAAATCAGTTGCACTAGGGCATATAGGTTCTATTTTAGGTATAGATATTAGTAATGGTTTATGGTCAAATTCTTCAGTAAATTCAGTTTCTATACAATGTTCATTTTTTTGTCCGTTATCCGTATCAAACATTTTAGTTTAAGAGAGAGATTAAAATCTAAAGAAAATTTTAGAAGTTATAAATTCTGAATACAGTCATGCAAACCAAGCGAAACGAGCCGACATTTTGTTTCCCTTTCCATCATTTTGATGCTGGCAATCATTTCTTTACTATTGGAAATTATTGTTTCTTAATATTATTTACAATACTAAATATATCATAATAGTTGTCACACAATAAATCACATGTACTTAGACTAATCTAATAAATCATAAAAGTTACTGAATTATTTTATTCGAATATCTTTTATTAACTATGTAATTATCTTAAAATCATCTTAAAGGAATAATGCATTTAATATACAAATATGACTTAATACTTAATATTTATACAGATTTAATGTACACATTTAAATAAAAAAATTTTATAAAACTTGAAATATAATTATGTAATATATTTTCGAGGTTAAGTTTAAAATAAAAATATCCATTGGCCAAGATACCGATTTTTTTAATTTTTATATTTAATGTTACCATATTATATAATTTTTTAATTCTTTTATAGAATAATCACACAAATATTACTTCATATAATTATATTATTTAAAAAATAAAATATTAAAATATTAAAAATATAAATATTTTATGAACTGTATTTCTTTCCTTAAATACATAATAATAATTAAAAATTATTTACTAATTTAATTACAATATATAACAACTTAAAATATAAAAAATGTTTAATAATATGAAAAAATAATATGGAAATATGAAAAAATAATATGAAATAATGTAAAATTTGATAATAAACTTAATTTTGACTTTTTAATAAATTGCAATAATTTTTGATAATAAACAATTTTAAGTCAAATAAATGTAAATTTATTTGTAATAATAATATAAATTTATTTTTATTAAGCAAATTCAAAAATAAGTTAGGTGCTGGCAGCAAATTTTACAAATATCATTGTATCAAATATAACATGTGTGAGCAAATTGCTAAACACAAAATATTATAAATTTTGTTTTAATATCTTTTATTTTGATTGCCTAATTTATTAAATTATTTACTCCAAATAAAATTTACAAATTAAGACTATTACTCATCTCACTAGGGGATCCTTTAAATACTAATCCGTCCCTGCTTTGTATCACTAGACAGCAATTTTACAACTTTGTTGTATACATCACTAGACAACAATTCGGAGAATACATTGATTTTACAGTCCATTCTCAAAAATAATTATGAAATTATATTATGTTGTAGATATAAATAAACACATTTATTCAACATATTTTCCTTACTGAATTGGTGAAACAACTGGGTTTTGCGTCATGAACAGATTGCGTTACATCAGAAATATCTTTGTACAGTAAAGATTCTTAACTTTTGTTAACAATTTTAATTCTATACAAATATATAAAGTCATATTACTTATTAAACAGATTCTGCAACATACTAATTTACATCTAATTTCTGTACTTACATTAGTTGATGCATCGAAGTTGCAACCGAGCTCCAAATAATTTGGCATGCATTGGTGGATACGTTTTACAGTAAAATATGTACAAAAAGTAGATTTTCTGAGAAAAATTGATATGCATTCAGGCAAGAATCACTGGAGACTTATTTCGAATTGAACTAAAACCTCAGATTTTCGATAACTGAGATTTTGAGGAGAATTTTGCTGAGCGTGTTGTTATGGCCGAACTCACTTCAATATGTGGTTAGAGATAGCAACTCGTGCTCCAGGCAGGATTTAGATCATGTGTCAGTAGCTTTTAGTTGTGGTCTTATATCCTTTCAACAAATCGACTATTACACATGTAATTTGTAATGTAGCGTAACATTTATTAACGTGTTTATATAAAAATCAGATGCCAAAAACACCTTATCTGTTATTTGGACATCATATTGGTCACAATTGGTATTGACTATTTTCACGACATACCGATAATATTTTAACAAAAGCATGGAAAAATAGACACTTGGATACTTTGATTTAGTCATTTTACATAAATAATTGTTCAATCTAATTGAAGAAAATTTATTTGTTTCTATTTACAAATCTCATTAAAGACATCTTAAATAACTATAGAAAGATCGTGCAAAAGTGATAATATAACATAAAATCCCATATAGGAAGTCCAATTTTGTTTAAGGTTTCAAGACGAAATCAATATATCTGCGTAGATATATTCTGCGACACTCGCGCTGTGTATCTGCTGCATCAATGATTTGCTGTTCGCTTGAGGCATAATTATTATTATAACTTAAGACATTTCTTCAAATCAGTATCACTACAAAGAAAATTGCTGAATTTGTTTAATATAGAACTGAGTTTACAGCATTTGGTGCAATCAAATGTGAGATACTAATCTCATTTAAGATGAACGATATTCGTTTATGAATTTACACGACCGCTTAAGTTTAACGTAATTTGGAATGTTGTATGGTATACAACAAGATAATATGATCTAATATAACCAGGTAGTGGTAATAATGATATGAGCTAATTCCAAAGCTAATTTTAAAATGATGTTTAATAAACAAAATTTAAATATGAATGAACCTAGAAATGAATGAAAATGAAATTTAAATATATGAATGAACCTTATCTTAAATGACAATATGAGTAATAACAGTCAACATGTAGTTTGTAGCAGCATACATATGTAAGCTATACAGACTATACAATATTAAATTAATCTAAACCTATTGGATTTCCTGGATGAAATAAGGACTAGAATCTATATTATGTATGTTTACAACATATAATAATTATTAGTATATAATAATTTATTAAATACAATTTATATCAAATAGATCCTAGATAACCGAAAAAATCTATTATACGAGTGGCATCAATAAATCTTTATTGGTGTCTTAAAATTCTATTGATGTCTATAAGACTAGTTCTATTGATGTCTTATAAAAAATTAATTAAACATGATACAACAAAATATTCTAATAACATTTTGAAAAATTTTCAAACTTTTAAAGCTTGTGTTCATTTTATACTCGTATGTATCTTCTGTTTATTTTAAAGTATGATTTCACGAAAGAAGTTAAATTTCTAAATTAACGTATGAAATATTGTTTAAAGTCGTATATTAGATCGTGTTGATTTTGTCTCTACAACGGTTAGAATCGCGAAGAACAAGGTCATCAAAGTTGCGTAACAGCACGATGTGTTTAATTGTTTCTTTATAAAGTTGTGTAGTAATGAGCATTTATTTCCGGTAGCATGTGTATAAAAACCTGAACATTTACTCATATAAGCCTTCTAGAAAAAAGATGTATCTTATTATCGTTTTACTGTTTGCGACTTGTGATTTATGTACATCAATTGAAATTCATAATAAAGGTATAGTTTATTAACATCATTTTAGTGACAAAATCTTGCATCATTTTTCTTAACAAAGAAATGAAATTTTGAGTGCTTAAATACTTGCAAGAGATTTCTTTGAAAAGATTTATATTTTTGAATTACTAATACGCTATTTTAGTTAATTATTTTGCATAATTTCGAAAATTTGCGCACAATAATCAATCTTGTTTATTACAGAAACTAATAGATTACAGAAAGATTTCCGAAATGCTGAATTTTTTCAAGATATACGAGACTGGTTTTATAATTTGGGAAACCAATTTCACGAACGATTATTTGGACTAACAACTACGCCGCCACCCTCTTTAGCAATTGAAATATCAAACTTGGACAAATTTGAATTACAAAATATAATCAAAAATCATGACTGGCATCTATTAAATTTATGTAAATAAGCATTATTATTTGATACTAAGTATAAAAATTATTATTATTTAATCAAGCATAAAAATTTCGAAAATATTAAAATAAAAATAATAGTAAAAGTGAATAATAGATTGATTAAGACTAAGCACAAATTACCTTGAATATGTTAGCATTAATTAAATTAATAATCAGTAATCGCTAATATTTCGTTACAGTTTCATTCATACTAATTTTTGTAAATTATAGCTATATTATCTTTTGATCCTAATCAAGACTGGGGATTTCACATTGGTGATTGGTATTTTATTCAAAAGGGATTTAATCAAAACGGATTTGAAGAGAATTCTAACAAATTAAATTCTCACACACCAAGTATTGCTCAGCCAAAGGATTCGATTGAAACAGAGACTAAACAAAGTTTTGATATTATGACGGATTCAGAAATAACGGAATCTTCACAAACGATTTCATCTATGACAACACCTACAACGCAGCAACACATTAATTCGCAAACAACACCAACCATTGAACAGATTGATTCTTCCAAAAACTTCTTACCAAAAATTGATAAATCATTGCAGGAAAATGAAACCGAAAACGATTTTATTCAAAAAGGATCTGTAGAAGTTCTTATGGGATAACATAGTTTTGTGCTTAACAAATAACATTTTGTAATTCCTTTAAACCTTCCATTTTTTTTGTTAAATAGGACATTTTTATACGAAAATAAATATTCCTGTTAACAAAATACGTTTATAAATTGTAGAGAATATTACCCAGTAACGCTAAAAGACCTAATGCGAGGAACATTTTCCTGGGCCCATAAAATAATTATGAAAATTACTTTACGGGATTGCTTTCGCCTAACGGCACATTTCAGCCGTTAGGCAAAATGACTTACCTTTTCGATCACGTGATTGGGAAAGGTACAAAGAGAATCGGCCTTATATAAGGCCAACACTGCATAAAATCTTCCTACTCTTGTCTATTGGCTTATTTCTTTATTTGTCGCTCCTACACCACCTCTTCTCATCCGTCGTTACTATTCTCACCACGTATCCCAAATAAATCATACAGTTTTCTCTTATAGATAATTAATATAAACAATGAGATATAATAAAACAGGACACTGAAATAAGTTTTTTTTCATCAAAAAGAATACACTTTTATTCTGTAAAACTTATTATAATTATCTATGATAATAAATGATTATAATAATTTTTAAGCCAATGTTGAACAGATTGTAGTCTTCATGATGTCTTTCGGTTTTACTGTAATAAAAAAAAAAAAAATGATATCAGCAAAATATTCAATCTCAATGTTAGTCACATTACATCTCACACAAGCAAAAAAAAAAAAGAAATGTTCTACTTTTATTGAAAGCTCAAAACAAAATAGAATAAAAATACAATACAAAAGTACATATATAATGTTCTAATCCTACTTGAGTCTTTTATTTTTAAATGATTATTAATATAAGTTCTACTTTGAATACTACTAATGATGAAATACAGAAAATGTTGTCAGATGTTTCTAAATTTTGAAAGAAAGAGTTAACACTAACTTTGATTATTTCAAAGTCAATCATCAGATACGTATTTAAAATATTTACATTATTTTTAAAACCATATGAGTGAGTGAGATACTGATAAAAAGTTAAATGTAATACACAAAAAGAATACGTTTTGTTATATATGGCATAATACAATGGAATATGCTACAGGAGTTAAAATAAATATATGAAAAAAGTTACGAAACATATTCAACCAAATCTTAAAAGGACAAACTGAAAAACATAGAAAAGAAAACTGAAACCAAGAAGTATACATGCTGACCATATATGAGCATCATAATTAAGTTTCCTCTTGAGGCTTGTAGTACAAATGATGAGCATTTGACTACTTCCTTCCCTAGAATATCAAAAAGCGTATACCACTGAATAGCATGCAAAATTTGTTTTTTATAAATATAACTGAATTATATATATTATATAATATGTTATATTTATATTTTGCACAGATAACTGTAGAAAATTTGTTACATTCAAATTATTTAAGAAATTATACTAGTAATTCACATATTTGTAATAATCTATTTTCATAACATGAGAATAATATAAAATATTTTTACTTGGTGTTCAAAATATTAAACAATTAGGAATTATACAATTAAATCAATATAAAACTCAAAAACAATGTATAATTCTTTTTCATGTCATTGATTAGATAACTATACATCTTCATATGCTCAATGCAAATATCACAAATTCTTATATATTAATGCTATGTTCTTGCAAAAGATTTATATATTAATTATAAAATATAAAAAAATAGACAATGCAAATTATAATGTAAACAAATATAAAACTGTAATTTTAATTCACTAATCTTAAATATTTTTAATTTGTAGGAAACATTTAATTTTTTGTTTAATTGTCAATGCACAAAATTTGTTGATAAATATTTCATTGAAATATTTCAAATTAAATTTATCGTAAATTTATTTACAAAAAAATAGATAAGAACATATATATTTATTAAATATTCTTAGAAATTTAAAACTTAAATGAAATTGAAAGCAAATAATACCAATGTAAAAATCATTATCAAATAAATATATATTATCGTCACCAAATTACTTTATATTATCAAAAGTATTAATAAACTATTTACTTATTAATTAATGTAAAGTGAAAGATAGAAATTATAATATTAAATAAAATATTATCTTACTTTTTTAGATGCAGCTCCCACTTTACTCTTCTTTGTACCCCTAACTTTTTTCATTCTGTTTTTACGTTCTTTTCTTTGTTTTCTTGTCTGTTTTTGTTTCTCAAATAGTCCATGCCTAGCTAACCTGTATTTAGGTTCAAATTTTTTTGCAAAATCTAATGTATCATAGATCAGTGCAAATCCGGTTGATCTACCACCACCAAAATTAGTCTGAAAACCAAAGACGAAAACTACATCTGGTGTAACTTTGTACATTTTTGCTAATTTTTCACGTATTTCTGTTTTTCGAACTGATGGATGACCTGGGTGAAATACATCCACAACCTGTGAAAAAATATTTTACAATAGATGAATATAATATTCAATTTGAAACAAATAATAAATGTTTATGTAAATACACACCATTTGTTTCCGACATAGTAATCGATTACTCATGAACTTTCTAGTCCTGATTGTAACAGCACCCTCCATCTGTAAAACAACATTGAGGTTATGTTTTGTTTTGTATTGTTTCATTAAAATTACACTATTTTCCAAGAAAAACATTTAGAAAGAAGTATAAGCATTTCATGTCACAATTTTATTTTTATAATTGTACAAAATACTTGTATTTGCATTTCATCTTTCATTAATAACACTATTAAGATAGTTAAGAGACACACGCTATAATGATATAAACATGAAACATTAATAGAGATTGTATTAATAAATTATATTTGAAAGAAAAGAATAATTATTTACCATTAACAATATTTTAAGCAAATATCTCAAACTTTTTTCAACGATTGATCAATAGTTTCAGGATACAAAACGCATACCACTCTACTCGATTATCGTGCCGCTGGTAAAAGGACAGTTACGGAAACGTGCAGCGCTATCTATTCAGTCAAACATATTCTTTTCGTAATTTTCTATACAGCTATATAAAATTGTTATGTTTTTCTTCTTTATATTAATCAAATAATTGAAAAAGAAATTAGCTATTTAAAAAATTGCATAATAATCTTAATTATTTATAATAATACCAAATTATTAAAACTTAGAACGTAATAATAATGTAACAATGCTATTCTTTGTTTAGAAATTTTAAATATCTATGTATATATTTATATACATATCTACTTATTAAAATGTCTGGAATTGTTCAAAAAGCAAGACGTATTATCGTATTATTTCAAAATTACTAAAGATATTAAAATTGAAAGTAAAAAAGAGTTTAGAAATGAAAATTTTTCGAATATTCGGATTTTAGATTTGTATGTCATTGTAAAGAAAATAAAAATAAGTTTCCGAGTAAAATTATTGATAAAAATTCTTTTTGTTTTATTACAACTTAAAAATCAGATGAACATTGTGAAATATTAACTTATAAAATCCTTTTCAACACAAAGACCAAGTATTTATTTTCACTACGTTATCGACAAAGTAAAACACGTTCTTGTGAAATTCTTAGGAAGACCGTAATTGTATTTGGCGCTGACTACAACTCTCCGGCTATCTGATTGGTTCAGTTTCGGGTAACGTCCATTACTCTTCTAGGAAGTTTCGAGAACGGACACGAGCAGTAATATTGGTGAGTTCTATGCGCTTACAACAGTTTGTTGAATACTATTACGTGGAGTGAGTCGAGCGTTAACGGCACACGGATATTTTCCACGCGTTGCTCTCTTTCTGCTGATACAGGTAAGACCAGACGTGAACAATTGCAAAGTTTAGAATATTTTAGAAAATATGCGCAGACGAGTGGAATTTTCATCACCGAATCGCGCGATCGATTATACGAGCTCGTGAATATTTCTTCGGATAGGAATTTGCATAGCGCCAAGCTGTAGAATCAATTTGTGCCACAGCATTTGGAAATATTACAGAAATATCGATGGAATATTCTTGAATATTTTAACGATTCGCAAATTCGAAGCGGACGTTCGAAGGTTGAATAATAGTTGTATGCCTATCCGAGCATATTGCATATTACGAAATGCGCGTCAATAAGTTTTATCATAGTACAAGTTGTGCTCGTCCATGACTCGCACTTTAACGTAGAAAAATGGTGGATGTTCCTATTGCCTTGCTCGTGTCAATACCAAACGTAGTTGAAGTTGCAGAGTATGTCTGTCACTTAGACATAAGTTATTATTACATGTCTGATTTCACTTATATTACTTAAACTGGAAGCCAACGCTGTTTATCTAGGAAAATTTTGGTAATTTTTCCATTTTCCTTACTTAATTTTTTGCCGGTAGTACAAACCTTTAGTATATATATATATATATATATAATATATATACATATATACATATCTGCGATAGCAGAAGAATCTAGAAAGTGTGGTGTTCTTTGTTCATGATATAACAAGCACTGCATTAGAGTAAAGCGGGGTTTTTTGTTTTCTTTTTTATGTCAATTAATTATATTTTATCATCTTAAAATATCATTTGGTCGCCATTTTGAAACGGATCACGCACATGGATGAAATTTATTGGACTACGAGCGTAGAATTAATATACTTTGAAAACTTGTAAGATTTTTATTCAATTTAGAAAGTCAGTTATGGAGGCCTCATATTTTGAATAATATTTTAATTATTCGATGCAAGTACTTCTATGTTGTATCGACATTAAAGTTCAAGGTCATTATGTATAATTTCCATGTGGATATAAATATTAGCAATATTTTAGTATTTTAAAAATATAAATTATAGATAGTTTAATGAGGCCTGCCTGAAAGACAATAAAGCAATATAAAGTTCTTTTTCATCAAGTCTCATTAAATGAAACATAATGAATATTAATTTGAAGCATGACGAATTTCAATTCAGATACATAATGTTGTATGATTAATAGATTTATGACCAATGCGTCCTACATTCCTAAATTGTGTAACAATTAAATATCTCATTTCAATATTGGATTCTTCCTCTTGAGCCTCTTTCTTTGAATATATTTCTTACATGTATTAATGTAATACATTATAGTATTTCACAAAATTTATCTGTAATTCATTGTGTTATTAAATTATATTTTTTATGTACGAAATTATGTATTAATATGAAAAGAAGATGACATAACAGTGAATTAAGCATTTATATTATTCAAGTTAATAAAATTTTTTATGGGTCTTTAAGACTTTAATTATCGTTTTCTTATGTAATAAATTATTTTGTAAGAATTGTTTTATTAAAATACGTAACATTAGAATAACCAGGCTCAAATATATATTTTAATATATTAATACGATTTCTATAATAAAATTTATGATAATAAATGACATTAATGACATTAAGTATTTATAAATACTTTTTATGAAAGTTCTTAATAATTATATGAAAAGAAACCAAGATTTATCATTTTGACAAGTTTGATAGTTCTAGTGTTATATTAAATATACGAGATTCATTAAAATCTATATTAATTTCAATAATATTTTTACCTTATTTCACTTCTAGCAGGGACAATACTATTGTAATTGAGGATCATTAGAAAATAAATTAATAAAAATGGTGAAAGAAACTACATTTTACGATGTTTTGGGTGTGAAACCTGGATGTTCACAAGATGATTTAAAAAAGGCTTACAGAAAACTTGCTTTGAAGTATCACCCCGATAAAAATCCCAATGAAGGAGAAAAAGTTAGTATTTTTAACTTAAAAGTGTGCTAAAGATTTTGATTGAATATTACAAAATAAAGTTAGATTATTAAATTTCACTTTCACATTACAGTTCAAACAAATCTCACAAGCATATGAAGTATTATCGAATCCTGAGAAGAAGAGAATTTATGATCAAGGTGGAGAGCAAGCTTTGAAAGAAGGTGGAGGAGGTGGAAATGTATTTTCTTCACCTTTGGATATCTTTGATATGTTCTTTGGTGGAGGCTTTGGTGGGAGAAGTGGTCGTAGGAGAGAACGACGAGGGCAGGATGTTATACATCAGTTGTCAGTTTCATTGGAGGAATTATACAAAGGAACTGTCCGTAAATTAGCTTTACAAAAGAATGTCATTTGTGATAAGTGCGAAGGTATCTTTTATATAGCGATTATTAAAGGTTTTGCATATTTGAAATAAAACGTTAAAATTTGTTTCCGTAGGTATTGGTGGGAAAAAAGGTTCAGTGGAACAATGTACAACGTGTCATGGTTCTGGTATGCAGGTTCAAATACAACAGCTAGGACCTGGAATGTTACAACATCTGCAAAGTATATGTGTAGATTGTAAAGGTCAAGGAGACCGAATTAATCCTCGTGATCGTTGTAAACAATGCGGCGGCAGAAAAACCATTAGAGATAGGAAGATTTTAGAAGTTCACGTTGACCCAGGTATGGTGCATAACCAGAAGATAGTTTTTGCTGGAGAAGGTGATCAGGAACCGGACTACGAGCCAGGAGATATCGTTATTCTTCTCGAAGAGAAAGAACATGAGGTTTTCAAGTTGGTATTTTATATAATATTTGTATTGTATGCGATTCAGTATTGTATGGCACATACATCACGATGCTATTAATTATATTATTTTAGGCGTTCACGTCATGATTTAATCATGAGGATGCAGTTGGAGCTTGTAGAAGCTCTTTGTGGATTCCAGAAAGTTATTCGCACTTTGGATGGAAGAGATTTAGTAATAACTTCATATCCCGGAACTGTTGTGAAACACGGAGATCTGAAGTGTATTCTAAATGAAGGAATGCCAATTTACAAAGATCCGTTTACGCACGGCAGGCTTATAATTCAATTTGTAGTGAATTTCCCGAAATCTATGGACCCTTCTGTCATTCCAACACTTGAACAATGTCTACCACCAAGGGAAGAGGTTATAATTCCAGAGGGAGCAGAAGATTGTTCTCTCATGGACTTGGATCCAGAACAAGAAGTGAGACGAAGAGAGCAACGACAAGCGTATGAGGAAGACGAAGGGGGTTCTTCAGGAGTCCAATGTGCCACAAATTAATTCAATCACAATAAATATGGTCATTCTTTCATTTTAAACTTTTGTCCCATTCGCTCGATTTCTGAATCATATGTAATAACAAAAGAACGAAAAGATGCGGACACGTAACAAAGTTCTTCAGATGACAAGAACCTGAGGAAAAATGTTTGCACTATGAAATGCTACATCGGTAGAATCACTATTGATTCTAGTATAAAGATCACCACAAATACTAAACTGTATAGGAGACCTTTAACGCTGTTGATGGTACATTTATTATCACTTCTGAATTAAATTATAAATTCTGGTGAAAATTGCTAATGAGCTGGTTAAAAATTAGTTCAAAATGTTTGCTGTAGAAAAGTATTTAAAAAGATGTACTTATCATCAAGCACGTTACATAACGTTACATTGGATGTCGAGTAAATTCAGCTTTTCTTAATCAAATAACTTTAGAGTTCTCTTAGATTAAGAAAAGCTGAATTTACTCAACTACTGATGTAACATTATGTAACGTGATTAATGAAAACAAATCATAATCAATTGTATCGTGTAATGTTGAACATTCTTATTATTTTCTGCTATTAATGAATTAATGAATTTGTTTTTATTTGACAGTTTTCAACACTCATCGATACGCGCGTACCGAATGGTAGAAATAAAATTAGACAGTCGAAATTAGTACCTTACCTCTATTCACATATTCCTTCAAATTGTTTAAATTACTAGCGTTTGATTACGACACAAGCTTTTGAAATTTAAATCGATGTTTACATTAGTGATGTAACAATCATAAAAATAGTGTGAGATATTGGTAAATGCATTCTATTATAACAGAAATAAAATGTAATCTCGATCTCTACAGACTTTAAAATTACTTTCTCTTTTATTTTTCAGCGATTAATTCATTTATAGAGTCTCGTGTAGTGACATATGACTAAAATATTTTATGTCTATTAAAAGTACAATTCGTGAAAAAAAGATGTGGTTCCTGTATATGTAATAAGTGGATTACTGCGCGTATTCATTGTCTGTTGTGTAGTAAAAAATATTCCAGTGTTTATTTATAGTCGTAATACTGGAAGTGAAAGTAAAAGAATAATTTCAGAAAATGTATTTAGTAATGTTACAAAGAGGCTGCTTTTTTTAATATTATAACATATTTCGTCTGCATTAAAGTTGAATAATGCGCGTGAATAGCTATTCGTTAATATGTATGCGTTGGATTAAACGCACCTTCAACATTCACATAATTTACTGTATACAACAAAATCATGTACTCGTCCGCAATTACTATAGCGAATTTAAATAGGCGCGTATTATAATCTTATTTATTATAGATAAATTGGTGATTGATTAGTACGTTTCTGAATCGTCTCAAATAAATTGAAAAAAGTATAATGTCAAATATGTGAAGGAAGATGTTTATAAAATTTGACCTTTAATCCCTCATATGCATGTCGTATTTTAATTTTGTTTACAACCAATACATATATAAATTATATACACATACTTATATTTAATACGTGTATAAATTCTTATTGAATTTGTATATATATATGTTAGATCAAATTATTTTCTTAAATTTTTATCTATACATCTCTAAATTTGTCTGCGAGAGTAACGTTCGAGCATTGCGATGATATTTCAGTAATTTTCATTCATAGAGGCGTACATGTATGAAGGATTTATTACGCAGGTATAAATTTAAACGGTATACGCATGCGAGTGTATTAAACAGCGGCATTCGCGAGAAGTAACAATGTTAACGTGCCTTTGAGTTACGTAGAATAGCCTAACGATGGCGATATAATCGCGGCTAAGGGTCGATGTTTTTGTAACGTGCGTTATACGAGTGCCCGAAAGCCAGACGTCGAGATGCCGCAAAGGTTTCTGGGTATGCGGAGGGAGCCATATTTTTCCAATATCAGTTACGCGAAAACAGCGTACGCATAGGATCTGCAGAATGGAATTTCGTTCGATAGTCGGTGCGGGAGAAGTGTTTAACGAAAGAAAGTGATTGCGAGGTAAACAACGGGGGATCAGTGTACGAGAGCGAGGCGGCCGTGCCAGTCAGAATATAATAAGCGTGCGTTTTCACGCGATCAAGAAGTGAGGTTCGGTGAAAACGATGAGCGCGGCCCGCGCAGGTGTTCGAGTCGAGAAGAGGGTTAGTTAACTTAACCCGAGTTCGTAACCGCGACTGGTGGTAGTGGTGGTAGTACTAGTGGTGGTGGTGGTGGTGGAGGTAGTAGTGGTGGTGGTGGTGGTGGTGGTGCTACTGCTGCTGTGACGATGACACAGCGTCATAACACGACGTACGTCCGTCCGTGCGATTTAACGCGAATTGTTACGGCGATATAAAAGTGTTTTTTGTACCGAGAGTGCGTTCGCGCCGTTACCGATCGAGTAAGTCGTGGCTCGGTCGTTATTAACCTTTGCGTATTCGAGTGCCGAGGAAAATGGCTTTCTACTCTTCTGGTGTGCGTGAACGAAGATTCGGAGCAGCGTATTTTTTTAGTGACAGTGGCTCGCAATGACATAATTGAGCGATGCTGGCCGTTTCTTAGTCGGAGGATGCGTGCATGTGAAACGGAGTAATAAGAATTACGACCACAACCGCGAATAACGTGACGGGGACCGTGGCAATGACACAACGACCTCAACGACCTGACTTTCTTCACAAAGTTCAATTTTTCTCTCTCGGCGCGTTGCAGTTTCCTTTCCATCGTCTCGTCGAAATCGAGTTAGACCCGGTTGCTCGTCAGTGTTCGCGGCGTTCGGAAAGATCCGTGGTTCGTGTCGTTCGCTTTTTCGGAGTAACCTACTGCACGCGTCACGAATAACAGCGTGTGTCCAACAGTCTAGGTTAGTCGAATGCTTGGCCTCATTGTGTTGTTTCGACGTGACTGAATCGGCGAGCGAGACAAATGAGCGAGCCGTCGCTTTGCAAATCGACCTTGCAAGTGACAGCAGAAGCGTAATTTCCTAATAAACAATGTTATCTAGCCTGGCTCACGTCGAACCCGTACAGTGAATGAAAATATCAGAGGAATTACGTTCCTCCTGCTCCACGAACGTCGTATAAATTTATTTACTTGTTCGTTAACGCAAGTAACTATTAAATGTTAAGTTGTCCTCTACGGAAGAAACCTGTTGGCTCGTACAAGTTGTCCACGCAATTGGAAGAAAGAACGAGATAACGCCTCTTACAAATTATTTTTCAAAACAGAAACGCATCGACCGATTCATAGAAAGTGTCGACTCATCGTATTATTTTCCCGAGAGACGTGTGACCGTTCGGACGAGAATATATAAATAACACGGACGTGATCCCCAATGCATTGGAATTGCAAGAAACCAACGAAACTGGCACGTATCATGGTAGAATGCTCCGATACGTAGGAGAGAGGTTAGACGGGCATTGACCGGTGAATAGCGCGTGTTTGTCGTCCGACGGATATACTCCAATTTCAAAATCTTGGCATCTCTTGTTCGAGGCTCTACCAGGGAGAAGATCGAGAAAGGGAGGAGTGTTCGCGAACGAATTTTGCGAAAGAAATTGACGAAGAAAGATTGAGAATCCAACGAAAACAAAAAAAGGAAAGAAAAGAAAAGAAAACGAAAAGGAAAAGGAAAAAACAAACAATCGGTGAAATTATCGGTCCTGGCGTGCGGTGCGCGGTAATGCCGAGGATGTCGAAGAACGAGAACGTGGATGACGGAACGTGTGAGATTATTCCGATGATCGGTGAGCGTGCGTGGCCAAGAAGAACGACCGATAGAACGCGGTGGATTTCGGTGGTGGGAAACGCGTGATCATTTCCGTTTATGGAGGATGCGGCAGGACCGAAAGGTGTCTCTATGTAGGCGTGCTACCTGCGTTTGTGCAGTGATGTCGGTGTCGGGGTTACTTGCAGCGCTGCTGGACCTGGACCATGGCCGGCAAGCCTGAGCAGCCGTCCACGCACTCTGCTCTCCCGAATCACAGCCATCATCATCATCATCATCATCATCACCATCATCATCATCATCAACAGCAGCAGCAGCAGCAGCAGCAGCAGCATCAGCATCATCCTCATCATCATCATCATCATAACCGACAACAGCAACAACAGCAGCAGCAGCAGCAGCAGCAGCAACAACAACAACAACCACAACAACAACAACAACAGCAGCAGCAAGAACAACAAAATCCTCAGCACGCACAGGAGATTCAGCAAAATAGTGTTCTAGTCTACGTTTCGGGAGAGAATTTCGCATACGCGACGGCGGTCGGTCAGAATGCCGCCGCCGCTGCTGCTGCTGCTACCGCAGTCGGCTATCAGTCCCCGCAGCAGGCGACGTACGCCGGCATTTTGCCGCCGCAGGTGGCGACGGCGGCGGCGACGTTTCCCGCCAAAACCGCCATTTATTGCAACGATAATAACAGCGCCACCGTGGCCACGGTAAACAATTGCTGCCGATTAAAGCCAGCCGGCGAGTATGCGTCGACCGATGGCGAGTCGAGCCGATCGGCACGATCCATGTCCAACAGTAACACCGAGGACGAAGAGGACTACGGTACGTCTATCGTCACGAACAACGGTTTGCTCTACAGACAGACGACGACGACGACGACGAATCTGATTCAAACGACCGGCACGTCCGCGACCACGACGATGACGTGCGTGGTGTCGGCGTGCGACGGCAAGAACACGGCGAGCCGAGGCCCGTTGGAAAATGACACGGCCAACAGCGCGGAGAACAACGTGGAGCTGGCGATCGGCAAGGTCGCGAACGCCGGCGACATGCTGTCCAACAAATTATTTCCATCGAGGATTCACAGCGGTGAGATTTACCCGAGCGGTGCGAGGCTAGTGGCCGACGCGGGTTACAGCAACACCGGTGGCCAGATCACGGCGCAGGGTAACCTCGGCGAGGGTTGCGTCGGTCTTCTAACCGACGACGCTTGTGTCGCGTACGTACGGCAGGCAAACGAATCGTCTCAAGCGTCCGCGGGTGTGTTCCAAGGCGACGGTGTCGAGCAACGCATTAATATGGACGACAGCAAGAGCCGGCAGCAGGACGGTTTCGATAACCAAACCGGCTCGTCGCTTTCCTCGTCTGGTTCGAACGTCGGTGTTGTCGGCAGTGGTGGTGGCGGTAGTGTTGTCGTTATCGGTAGTGGTGGTAGTGTTGCAACTAGCTGCGACTCTGTCCGATCTGATACCGGTGAATCGTCGACTTACAGTAGCCTAAGCAGTCCCGAGAGTCAAAGTCAATCGGCGCACGATGGTTTGCCTGTCGCGAACAGTGGCGGTTCGTGCGCGCAGCAGGCTGCGCGCCAGCCGCAGCTCCCGCGCGTCAACGCTTCCAACAACAGTAACAACAATCCCGTTCAACAAAATGTAGTGCTGACGATGAACGGTAGTGCAGTGGTTGCGCAGCAACAACAGCAACAACAACAACAACAGCAACAGCAGCAGCAGCAGCAGCAGTTCCAGCAAGCGATTACCGTACCACGTGGATGGAAAAGGATATGCACCAACGGGGTCATCATTTATATCAGGTGAGTTCGTTTATCTTTTACGTTTTCATTTTGCAATCGCGGAATTTTATTTATTTTTTTTTCACCGAAATGATTAGTTATATTTTGGAGCGTTACACGCGCGCGTGCGTACTTTTCAACAACGTTCTCTCTGCGTTATTGCGTTATTCGGAATTGACTTCACCATCGGGGTTTATCTTAATGGTCTGCGGGTTAGTAGCATCGATCGGCGGTTAAACGCTCTTGCTAGAACTTTAATTTCGCTAATGGAATTAAACTGCGTCCAGCGTCGAGCAAATAAGATTAGCGGAGTAACTGGTGAATTGAGATAAAAACCGGGTGACAACCACATAAGAGAGGATGGGGGGCTGGGTAGCTCCCCTCGCTTGCACGCGCAAGGTCTCGCGGAGAAACGAAACCGTTTTCAAGTGAAAAAAATGACTCGCGGGGGGAATTCATTCTGATAATAAAGCTTCGAAGCTGTAACAAACGTTCGCGAGTTTCATCACCTAAACACGGAGGCCGACATCCGCCTCCTCTCGTCGTTGATCTTGAAAAAGGTTTTGTCCCTTTTCCGTCCTTTGTAATCTTTTCCGACGTTCCGCGTAAAAAACACGAATTTTCTGGGAGCCAAGGCTTCCCGTTGAACGCCCCCTTTTCCCGTCATCATCCAGTACGCTGAAAGCGAAGGCGTCTTCCACTAACCCCTCATTGTACTTTTATGGCTCTTTTCAAAGTCTGTTCGAGGGTCACTTTCATCTTTTCCACCGCGTCTTTTTTACGGCTGTCCCCGGCCAAGATGCCACGCATCCTCCGCTGTCTCCTCCTTTTCTCTCTCTTTCTCTCTTGCGAGGCATTCGGCCTCTGCCGGAACGTGCAAAAATTGCACGGATTAAATTCTCTGATCAACGCCGCCAGGACGAGCAAATTTCTAGCTTGTTGATGCAGCCTAGAAAAAAATGTCCTTCTTGATACATTTCCTTTTTTCAAATAAAGTGCTCTAACGTCAGCTTGTATTTTTCTATTCTGCAAAAAAAAAAAAAAGAAAAAAAAAAAAGAATTCGAATTGTTCGAGTAGAATTACGAAAAAGATGGTTACTTGGGTCTAAGCAGATAGGGATCTCGACAGTGGGGAAACTGTGGTGACGGGACGCATCGTTGTATCGAACAGAGTAAGTCGACTCCTCGAAATGTACTAGCAAGGCACAAAAGGCATTACTTCGTGGCGTGATCGTTTACAAGTCTGTCCCAAATCTCGTTAAAACGATCCTACCTGGACTGGCACGAGTCACGGTGTTTGCAGGCCTTTAGCAAACAATGCTCCGTTACCTGCAATTCCAAATAATCCCAGCTCACCGGGCCAGTCTTTCTCTTCCACCACTAATAACGATCATGATCTTTCTAACTATATTTATGTACGTCTACTTTACTTGTGTATACCTACTTTATGTACATCTGTGTACTTTGTGCCGTATTTATTCTCGAAACGAATTGGTGCATTGTCGAGCGCGACGAATTGCACAGAGCTGAGTCTCCATTTCAAACATAACGAGACGAGACCGACTTTGAAGATTCGTTCGCGACGAAGAGGATTTCCAGGTTAATTGTTTCAAGAATCCTAATTAATCCCTCGTCGTAGACGCAGCGATTTCGAAAAAACGAATTAACCTCTTGCGTCTGAAATGACGTGCCGCGCACGTCGAGAATTTTTTGTTCCAAAATTGTAATATTTTCTCAGTTTTAAATATTTTTCAAGTAAAACAAAATAGGCAAAACGTAAATAATAAATTTATTACTTCTCAATAATTTCTATCCAGTGATATCGTACCGACAAGTTTAAAAAGTAAGCGACGAATTATTGTATACGGTTTATATACGGTCACTCGTTATGGTCCGCAATCAGTTGTGGTTAACCTCTTGCGCTGGAATGACGTGCCACGCACGTCGAGAATTGTTTGTCCCAAAATTGTGATATTGTCCTCAGTTTTAAGCATATTTACGTAAAAATAGGTGAAACAAGATAATAAATTTATTACTTCTCAATAATTTCTATCCAACGATGTCATGCCGACGAGTTCGAAAAGAAAGCGACCAATTATTGTACACGGTTCGGTCACTCGTTAAGGTCCGCAATCAGTTGCCAGCCCAAGTGGTTAAACGTACCTATTAAAAAAAAAAAGAGAAAAAGAGAGAGAAATCTCTGTAACGGAAGAGACGGAGTCAAAGTAATCGCGTAAATTGCCCGAATCGGAACGATGAAAATGAACGATGAATTCATCTCGCGTTCGAAAATTCTCGCGCCGACAGAAGACAAATAGTTTTTGCCGGATAAATCGCCGATATATATACATATATCTCTCGTGGGGCAAGGATTCCTTCAAAGATTCTTAGGCTTCAGCATCCTTCGTCCGAGGCGATGCATGGCAGGACAGATTCTCACATCGGCTCGTGTACAGGAAGCGGAGGAATGGTCGGAAGGAAGGAGGAGGCATCACATATATAGGAAGGGAAAAGGAATTTCGTTGAACCGCGCTGTTCGTGCGATCATTGATTTACGATGGTACGTCGTAAATACCACCGGTGATGTACGACCGGTGCTTCCCTCCACCCCTCGCCTACCCTCTTCCTCCCCCCAACCCCCTCCGTCCCGTACCGTTTTCCCTCGTAAGTTTCTTCTTCACTCTCTTCTTTCGCCTTCTTCGCCACAGACGTCCCTTTACGGACCTCTTCTTGATTTATTACATCTACGGGGCCTGTTGTCTCTTTTCGTTCTTCTCGTACGTACGTACGTACGTACGTACATATGTATGTATATATGTATGTATGTATGTATGTATATACCTCCTAGGTGGTGCTCGGACTTTTGAACCCTCGTGCATACCCTGCCGTGTTGTCCCTTCGTATCAACCGTGACTTCGGCTTTGACGTTCGGTTCCTTTCTTTTTTTTTCGCCCGCTCGTTCTTTTTTTTTTTTCTTTCTGTTTTCTTTTTTCTCTTACTCACTGTTCGCTGCGAAACGAGACGCTCGGAGGAGAGCTTCCGACACACCCCCACGGTGACGTTCGACTTCGACGTGACTTTCTCTCTTTGACTTGATCTTCTCGGTCGGATGTCGGCAAAGTAATTTCACAAAGGCCCAGCGACGTTACGGGTTACGAGTTGCCAGTCGATCGGTTCTCTCATTTGGAACGAGATTTCGAAGCGTGCGTGATTTGAGAAAAATTTCTTTGTCTGTGACCAATTGAAACAACTGAGTCGAATTAAGCGACTAACTGTCGTGCGAAGACTTAATTCCTTTTTTTTTTTCTTTCTTTCTTTTTTTTTGTTTACACGCGTGTGTGTACTACTACAGTTAAAATTGAAACGAGGAAAAAGAGAAATTGAGCGCGAGAAATGAAAATCTGAGGTAAACGCGAACGAAAACGGATTATCGTCAAGGATAGCAGAAATTAATGCGAATGAAACGTTCACGCGCGCGCTCTTGAGTTTATTCAAAACCCCGTTTGCAATTATAATTTCATTCAAATAGGAAACGTTTGTTTGTCAAAGAATAGCTCTCTCAGAGGTCTCTCTCTTTCGACGAGAAAGCGTGTTAATATTTGACCCGTTTAGACGGATGTTTTGGCATGTTTATTTTTAATGTAAATCTATTTAAATTAGCGCTGTTGCGACACAACTTGTGCTGAGATTCAGCACAGATACTTGGCATTGCAATTAGTTTCTGGCTGAGCACTTTAAATATTCATCGGAATACTTATTTATTTCGCACGCGCGAGTGTGTTAAGTGCCACCTCGTGAAATTTGTAATTGTGCCAGGTAGAGGTAAAGGTAAAGGATAATCCCATGGCGCGGGATCTCTGTCCTATGGTCTGTGCGAAATGCCTGTTTAAACATTATCCCTGTTCTATTTCCGTTTGCGTGTTTGTCCGTCTGAGAGTTCCTCCTCTCTCTCTCTCTCTCTCTCTCTCTCTCTCTCATATCTTCGGACGAAAGAAAATTCAGACGAAACGAGCAACGAGATATTTATATGCATGACTGTGCATAACTTTCGTTATTCGTACTTTCATGTGTTATTTAATATCCTTTCTCCAAAATTTCCGTATTTATTTTTACTAGTCCTATATATATATATATATATATATATATATGTATATATATA